TGCCTTGCCGGGATCGCAGCACTCAGTGTAACCGTCATGTGTCTTTTTATTTTCCCTCCCTGGTTTTGCACACTCTGTTCTCTGAATGAATTCCCATGAGTTGCCTCAGTACTCCTTCGAATGTCCCGTTTCCCCTCTCCTCTTGGTGTGCAGATAAGGACGCCAAATCGCCTCCATGCTGTTGGCTGCTGTGCGCCAACACCTGGGAGCAGCCTCGGCACCACCAGCAGCATCAGAAGAAGCAGAACATCAGCAGCACAATCAGCAGCAAGCTGTCCGGCCCCTCAGGATCTGGAATAGCAGCGGATACAGAGGAGGCCGTGCAGCAGCGTTTGAGAGGGCACTAGCAGCGAGAGCGGATGTGGTGGTGGCGTCTGGAGAGTGTCCATGGGCGATAGGGACTTTGTCAAGCCATTACTTGAGCGGCTGGGGACTGTTCACTTTGGTCGGGTGAGTGGGTGCTGTTTTGCTGGGTGAGTGACGGTTTGAGGGCTGGCAGGGGGGCAGTGAGGGCCGTGGCAGCAGCGTTTGAGAGGGCGTTGCAGAGAAGGCGGATGTGGTGGTGACGTCTGGAGGGGTGTCCATGGGCGACAGGGACTTTGTTAAGCCGCTGCTGAAAGGCTTGGTACCGTGCACTTTGGGCGGGTGAGTGGTGCTTCTTACACCCCCCCTCCATCTCGTCCCTCCCTTGTTATCCTTTCTCCTCTCCCTCCTTCCCTACCCATTTGCCGTTCCCTCCTCATTCCCCCCTCCCTTTCCTCTCTCCTTTCATTCCTTCCCTTTCCGTTCTATCCTCAGGTACACATGAAGCCAGGAAAACCGCTCACTTTTGCAACCATCGAAGGCCCCCTCAGATAAGACGGATGGCGCCGCCAGCCGCACCGAACGATAGTTTTTGGGCTGCCCGGGAATCCGGTCAGCTGCATGTTGTGCTTCAACCTGTTTGTGCTGCCCGCTATCCGGCAGATGGGGGGTTGGCGCCATCCCCTACTGCACAGGTGAGGAGGGAAAGAGGGCGAGGAGAGAGAAACGACTTTTAAATTGCTTCAAAAGTCCTTCAACCTGTTTGTGCTGCCTGCAATTTGGCAGATGAGGGTTGGCTTCATCCCCTGCTGCACAGGTGAGCAGGGGAAGCGGAAGGGGGAAGGGTGGTTAGAGTGGATGATTGGAGTGACGCAAGTGAGTTGCACAAGAAGTGTTACTGGAAGAAAAGGAGACAATGCCAGCGCGAAAGCTAGGGAGAAGAGAAGAGTGGAGGCGAGTGAGTAGCACAACGCACCGCATTGCATACCTCTTCCTGTCCTCCCATCGTCCCCCATCCCCCAGGTGTGCAGGCCCACATCTCCTCTGCTCTCCGCTTGGACCCTGAGCGTCCTGAGTACCACCGAGCATCCCTCCCCTACGTGCTTGCAATGAACGCATTGCAGTTATACCGCTCATTGCATTGCACCGGACTGCATACCCCTTTTATTCCTCCCTTTCCCCCATCCACCCAACAGGGTGCAGGCCCACATCTCCTCTGCTCTCCGCTTGGACCCTGACCGCCCCGAGTACCACCGGGCGTCCCTCCGCTGGGAGCCAAACGTCCCTGCTGCCCTTGCCTCCTCTGTTGCTGCTCCCACCACTGCTACTGCTACTGCCACTACTACTGCTTCTGCTACTCCTGCTCCTCCTTCCTCCACCGCTGTGTCTGGTTTCGTAGCAGACAGCACAGGCAGGCAGATAAGCAGTCGCCTCCTCTCCATGCGCTCAGCGCACTGCCTGCTTGAGCTGCCCCAGGCGCGGGGCTCCCTCCCTGCAGGCTCTCTTGTCTCCGCGCTGCTGCTGCCTGATGCTGCTGCGTGCCTGGCGGTCCCTGCGGTGGCAGTGGGGAGGACGGAAGGAGGAGAGGCTGTGGGCAAGGGAGGGGAGGGAGGAGGGGGAGAAGTATGGGTGTGGGTGCAGTCATGGGCATGGGAAAGGGCATGGGAATGGGCATAAGCAAAGCGCTGGTGCTGCTTCCGCCCCTGCTGTTGCTGCTGCTGTTGCCTCTCCTTCCACTGCTGGTGCTGCTGCCTCCACTGTGGGTGCGGGTGTGCGAGTGGCGATTCTGACTGTCAGTGACACGGTGGCGGCAGGCCTAGCAGCAGATGCCAGGTGAGTCAAGAATGGTCCCGCGGTGGTGGCAGGTCTGGTAGAATTGAGGTTTCCCTCTTGCAAATGTTCAGTCCCATGTCCCCCTTGGTAGCGCCGAGTAGAGCATGGTGTTTTTGAGAATTCTCAAAAATACCCTGCAGCATAATGTTCAGTCCATGTCCCCCTTGGTAGTGCCGAGTACAGCATGACTTTCTCCTCTTCCCTTGCTGTGTTTCCATGGGCGCTTGCTCTAATTCCCGCCTTCCAACTCCATGCCCGTGTCCCCCATGCCTTTCACACTGTACCCCCTCTCGCCACCCAGTGGCCCCAGGGCAGTGCAGGCAGTGCAGTCACTGCTGCCAGCAGCAGCAGTGGTGGCGACGGCTGTTGTTCCAGACGACCCAGACAAGATAGCAGCGCAGGTTAAGGCGTGGGCAGATGGGGGAGGAATTGCTGTGTCAACTAGTGAGGAAGCGGGTGTGGCAGCAGTGGATGTGATTATAACGACAGGGGGCACGGGGTTCTCTCCCCGGGATGTCACTCCTGAAGCCTGTGCGCCGCTCTTCCACCGCTCTGCACCCGGGCCTCACCCATGCCATGCTGCAGGAGAGCCTCAGGGTAGGGTTTTTTATATCTTTCGTTTCTCTTTCTCTTTTCTTAAGAGAGGAAGGGCAGGGAAAAAAGGTAGGGGAGGGTGGGATGTTCAGGCTCGACAACATATAAGGTGACAAATTTGTTCCCTGTGTCATTTTTTTCCTTCTCTCACGCACCCTTGTTTGTACTATCGACTGCTTTTCTTCTCTCGTTTCTCCCATGCAGATCACGCCCTTTGCCATGCTCTCGCGCATGGCTGCTGGCATTAGAGGCTCCACTCTGGTGAGATAGCATGACAGCATGGGGCCATGGGGGTATGGGTGCATGGGGGCATGGGGGCATGATGCATGGTGACATGGGTGGTTGGATGGATGCAGCATGCAATTGTGCATGGCTGCAGGCATCCGAGGCTCCACTCTGGTAAGATAGAATGACAGCATGCGTTCATGGATGCATGGGTGCATGACATGCATAACATGCATGGTGCATCGGTGCATCATGCATGGTATGGTGACATGGGCAACCCGCAAGTTGGTGCAGCCACAAGCTTAACCTCTTCTCCTGGCCCCACCCACCACCCACCATCCATCTGAACCCCTCAGATCCTCAACCTGCCTGGCAACCCTAATGCGGTGTCAGAATGCCTGGCTGCTCTCATGCCTGCTCTTCCCCATGGCTTGAAGCAGCTGAAAGGGGACAAGCGGGAGAAACACCCCCGCCACACGCCCCACCCTGGCATAGCCAAGTGATGGTTTCTGGGTTGACTAGCATAGGTTCACAAGACAACGTGGTCTTGAGAGAGTAAAGCTGTGCGCCTCGTGCCAGCTCCACCACATGGGCTGAAGCAGCTGAAACGGGACAAGCGGAGAAGCACCCTGCTACATGTGGCCTAGCATGACAAAGCAATACAAATGAGCACTTGGAGTTCTTGCTCTGCATGTGCCAGCAACACTCCGAAAAGAATATTGAACGTTCCGTATCCAAGCCAGCAGAGCATGCGATGTACAGTACTTTACCTCGGCTCCCTCCCCTCTTAGAAAGATACTGTACTAGGCTATACAGAAACATTTCACATGTTCATTAGCACCAGCTCTATTTTCTTCGGGGGCAGCCAATGTCGCAGCAGTAATTATTCAGCCCCAATTGCACCGCACGCTCAAGAAACTCCTTATGTTGTTCACACGAGGGCACGATACAAGCTTCACTGCGTGCGCTAATTTATCGCGCCGCGTCGCCTTGCACGGTATCTCTCAACCGGAAGGCGTCGACGGTCCGGTTTCTTTCCCGTCAGTGTGCGAATACTTTTCCGCTAGAGTGTTAGGGGGAGGGGATATCCGGGTTGACTGTGTGACAGCAGGTAGTTGACTCACAAAGTCACCAGAAAAGAAAATCACGGCTAGTAGGGTGTGAGAGAGAGAGACAGGGCGGCACAATCAAGATGGACTCGCGGGATGATGTCATGGGCCTTGCTACGGGCATCGGCGTAATATTAGGAATTGCGAATCCGCGGAACGGCGCGCCGCCTCTATGGTGCCACCGCCGGCGGCTTCCTCCTGTCTGGCGCAGCGGAATGGCGCGGAAGTTGCGTCTGTTCGCTCGTTCCGCCCGTTCCGTTCGTTCCGATCGTTCCGCTTGTTCCTGCGCGGGGGAATGGCGCGGAGGCTGCCTGTGAAGGCGCGCGGGGGGAAGGGGTTCCGCGAGTTGGGGGAGCAGCGGGCATATATGAGCAGAGGGAAGCGGGGGGATCTGGGCAGGGGGAGAGGGAAAAGGAAGGGGTGCGGAGGAATCAGGGGGGTTATGGGGTGGTGGGACGGAGAGAGGAGTGATGGGTGGGGTTGGGGATGGTCGCATGGGGGATGGTGGGAAAGGGTTTTGCGGGCTAGAGGGAGGAATGGGGTGGGCTGGCAGGTCACATGCTGGGAGGGAAGAGGTGGGGGAGGGGGGAGAGGCTGATGTGGGAGGGTGGAGGGAGATGAGGATGAAGAGGTGGTTGAGGTGGAGTGGGTCGGAGATTGTGTGAGGGGGAGTGTGTGGCAGAGGGTAGAGGAGTGTGTGAGGGAGTGCGGAGGGGAGTGTGGTGGGGAGTGTGGAGGGGAGTGTGGAGCGAGACAGGATGAGGAGGAGGAGGGAGAGGAGGAGGAGGAGGAGGAGGAGGAGGAGGAGGAGGAGAGGAGGAGGAGGGGAGGAGGAGGAGGAGGAGGAGGAGGAGGAGGAGGAGGAGGAGGAGGAGGATAAGGATAGTGCGATGGGCCTCGCAGCCGCTATTGAGGCGCCTCAGAATGTAACGGGCATCGGCACGAATCCACGGAACGGCCCGCCGCCTCCTCGGTGCTACGCCCGGCGGCTTCCGCCTCGCCTGGCGCAGCGGAATGCCGCGGAGAGTGAGGAAGGAGAGGATGATGATGTGGTGGAAGTTCCAATCGGGGACAATAGGTGGCGGGATATTAACGAGTTACACACTGATAGTGCGAAGGAGATAGAAGGTTTGCGAAGGGAGGGAGGGAAAGGGAGAGAAGAGGGGGGGGAATGGTTGAGGAGGAGAGGGGGGAGGGGGGAGGGGCGGCGAAGGGGAAGGAGAAGAAGAGGAAGAGGGAGGAGGAGAGGGGCACGGGTGGGCAGGAGGAGCGTTTTCTGTGCGGAGAATGTGGGCAGGCTTTTGGTCGACGGACAACTTTAAAGGCACACTTGGGTACCCATTTTTTGCAGGTTCAGGCGCTATGCCGTTCAACCCAGGTGCGTTTTCCTCACTCACTCGCTCACTCACTCACTCTCCCCCACTCACCTGCTCGCTCACTCACGCACTCCCCACTCTCTACTCTACCTCACTCATTCATGCATTCACCCACTCACAGGCTCACAGACTCACTCACGGTCTCTTTCACTCACATACCTTGCACATACCTTGCACATACCTTGCACATACCTTGCACATACCTTGCACATACCTTGCACATACCTTGCACATACCTTGCACATACCTTGCACATACCTTGCACATACCTTGCACATACCTTGCACATACCTTGCACATACCTTGCACATACCTTGCACATACCTCGCACATACCTTGCACATACCTTGCACATACCTTGCACATACCTTGCACATACCTTGCACATACCTTGCACATACCTTGCACATACCTTGCACATACCTCGCACATACCTTGCACATACCTTGCACATACCTTGCACATACCTTGCACATACCTTGCACATACCTCGCACATACCTTGCACATACCTTGCACATACCTTGCACATACCTCGCACATACCTTGCACATACATTGCACATACCTTGCACATACCTTGCACATACCTTGCACATACCTTGCACATACCTCGCACATACCTTGCACATACCTTGCACATACCTTGCACATACCTCGCACATACCTCGCACATACCTCACGGGCACTGGTGCCATCTCCACCCTTACCGCTCGTCTTTCCACTCTTCCCCTCGGTCCCTGCCGTGATTCCAGAAGGCTGGAAGCCAGGTTCGCCCCTCACCGCTTGCCTCTTTGCCCCTTCTGCAGCAGAAGTGGTTTGGGTGTTTCCATGCGAACACCCACAAGCCATGCTATGTAGTCAAGTCAAGGCATTAAGTCAACTTCCCCTCTTACCGCCTGCCTCTTTGCCTGTTCTGCTGCAGGAAAAACCTTTTCTGTGCCCGCATGTGGGTTGCAGCAAGGCATTCACCACAAATTTCAGCCTAACGAGGCACCTTCTAGTGCATGACTCCAGTGCTCCTCGGGTAAGCTCCCCTCGCCCTCTCCCCTTTATTGCCCCTTAAGTATCAGTTACCGAGGGCACCTTCTAGTGCATGACCCCAATGCCCCTCAAGTAAGCTCCCCTTGCTTGCTCTCATGGTGAAAGTCGCAGCCCTCAACTTTTATCCCCCTTTTCATCACTCCCCTCTTCCCTCGTTCCACTCTTTCCCTCCCCCCTCCTCTCCCTCCTCGACTTGTCCCAAACTCATCACAATAATCCTTGGTACACCATGCAGCATGCCCCACACAATAGCATCATGCAGCATGCCACACACAATAGCACCATGCAGCATGCCACACACAATACCACCATTGCAGCATGCCACACACAATAGCACCATGCAGCATGCCACACACAATAGCACCATGCAGCATGCCACACACAATAGCACCATGCAGCATGCCACACACAATAGTACCATGCAGCATGCCACACACAATAGCACCATGCAGCATGCCACACACAATAGCACCATGCAGCATGCCGCATGCAAGGACGCAGGGTTTGTGGCTTTATTGACGCATCTTGTATTCCCTCTCCCTGTTCTCTTCCCTCCCCTCTCCCACATCCCCTCTCCCCCCCCCACCCTCCCCCCATCTCTCTCCTTGGAAAAAACCAGATTCCCTGCACTCATCGCCCCTGCCTCTAACCTTTAAGCGTCAAGGGACATGCGAAGGCATGCAAGGTGAAGCATGGCAGAGGGAGAGGGAGTGGGGTGCGAGTAAAGAGCGCGCATGCGGGCAGGAAGGGGAAGAGAGCGCATGGGGGGAGAGGTAGGGAGGCATAGAGGCGAGAAGGAGGGTGATTCTGTGAGTGGGAAAGAGAGACAAAGGGGGGAGGAGAGGGATGAGGAGGGAAGTGAAGGGGAGGACCTGTATGAGGAAGTAGGGACGGAGGGGGAGAGGGGCGAAGGGCGAAGGAGCGGTTGGGAGAGGGAAGAAGAGGGAAGGAGGGAAGAGAACCGGGACGAGGGAGGAAAGCATGGGGGAGGAGGAAAGGAGGGGGGGAAGAGAGGGGAGGAGGAGAGAGGAGCGAGGAGAAGAGGGGACGAGGAGGAAAGGATGGGGGAGGAAAGAAGGGTGGAGGAGGAAGAAGGGTGGAGGAGGAAGAAGGGCGGAGGAGGAAAGAAGGGGCGGAGGAGGAAAGAAGGGCGGAGGAGGAAAGAAGGGCGGAGGAGGGAAGAAGGGCGGAGGAGGAAGAAGGGCGGAGGAGGAAAGAAGGGCGGAGGAGGGAAGAAGGGCGGAGGAGGAAAGAAGGGCGGAGGAGGAAAGAAGGGAGGAGGAGGAAAGAAGGGCAGAGGAGGAAGAAGGGCGGAGGAGGAAAGAAGGGTGGAGGAGGAAAGAAGGGCGGAGGAGGAAAGAAGGGAGGAGGAGGAAAGAAGGGCGAGGAGGAAAGAAGGGCGGAGGAGGAAAGAAAGGCGGAGGAGGAAAGAAGGGCGGAGGAGGAAAGGAGGGCGGAGGAGGAAAGAAGGGCAGAGGAGGAAAGAAGGGTGGAGGAGGAAAGAAGGGCGGAGGAGGGAAGAAGGGCGGAGGAGGAAAGAAGGGCGGAGGAGGAAAGAAGGGAGGAGGAGGAGGAAAGAAGGGTGGAGGAGGGAAGAAGGGCGGAGGAGGAAAGAAGGGCGGAGGAGGAAAGAAGGGCGGAGGAGGAAAGAAGGCCAGAGGAGGAAAGAAGGGTGGAGGAGGAAAGAAGGGCGGAGGAGGGAAGAAGGGCGGAGGAGGAAAGAAGGGCGGAGGAGGAAAGAAGGGAGGAGGAGGAGGAAAGAAGGGCGGAGGAGGAAAGAAGGGTGGAGGAGGTAAGAAGGGAGGAGGAGGAAAGAAGGGCGGAGGAGGAAAGAAGGGCGGAGAGGGAAAGTAAGGAGGAGGAGGAAAGAAGGGCGGAGGAGGAAAGAAGGGCGGAGAGGAAAGAAGGGCGGAGGATGAAAGAAGGGGCGGAGGAGGAAAGAAGGGCGGAGGAGGTAAGAAGGGAGGAGGAGGAAGGGCGGAGGAGGAAAGAAGGGCGGAGGAGGAAAGAAGGGCGGAGGAGGAAAGAAGGGCGGAGGAGGAAAGAAGGGCGGAGGAGGAAAGAAGGGCGGAGGAGGAAAGAAGGGCGGAGGAGGAAAGAAGGGCGGAGGAGGAAAGAAGGGCGGAGGAGGAAAGAAGGGCGGAGGAGGTAAGAAGGGAGGAGGAGGAAAGAAGGGCGGAGGACGAAAGAAGGGCGGAGGAGGAAAGAAGGGCGGAGGAGGAAAGAAGGGCGGAGGAGGAAAGAAGGGCGGAGGAGGAAAGAAGGGAGGAGGAGGAAAGAAGGGCGGAGGAGGAAAGAAGGGCGGAGGAGGTAAGAAGGGCGGAGGAGGAAAGAAGGGCGGAGGAGGAAAGAAGGGCGGAGGAGGAAAGAAGGGCGGAGGAGGAAAGAAGGGCGGAGGAGGAAAGAAGGGCGGAGGAGGAAAGAAGGGCGGAGGAGGAAAGAAGGGAGGAGGAGGAAAGAAGGGCGGAGGAGGAAAGAAGGGCGGAGGAGGAAAGAAGGGTGGAGGAGGAAAGAAGGGCGGAGGAGGAAAGAAGGGCGGAGGAGGAAAGAAGGGCGGGAGGAGGAAAGAAAGGCGGAGGAGGAAAGAAGGGCGGAGGAGGAAAGAAGGGCGGAGGAGGAAAGAAGGGCGGAGGAGGAAAGAAGGGCGGAGGAGGAAAGAAAGGGCGGAGGAGGAAAGAAGGGCGGAGGAGGAAAGAAGGGCGGAGGAGGAAAGAAGGGCGGAGGAGGAAAGAAGGGCGGAGGAGGAAAGAAGGGCGGAGGAGGAAAGAAGGGTGGAGGAGGAAAGAAGGACGGAGGACGAAAGAAAGGGCGGAGGACGAAGACGGGCGGAGGAGGAAAGAAGGGCGGAGGAGGAAAGAAGGGCGGAGGAGGAAAGAAGGGCGGAGGAGGAAAGAAGGGCGGAGGAGGAAAGAAGGGTGGAGGAGGAAGAAGGGGAGGAGAAAGAAGGGCGGAGGAGGAAAGAAGGGCGGAGGAGGAAAGAAGGGCGGAGGAGGGAAGAAGGGCGGAAGGAGGGAAAGAAGGGCGGAGGAGGTAAGAAGGGAGGAGGAGGAAAGAAGGGCGGAGGAGGAAAGAAGGGCGGAGGAGGAAAGAAGGGCGGAGGAGGAAAGAAGGGGCGGAGGAGGAAAGAAGGGCGGAGGAGGAAAGAAGGGCGGAGGAGGAAAGAAGGGCGGGAGGAGGAAAGAAGGGCGGAGGAGGAAAGAAGGGCGGAGGAGGAAAGAAGGGCGGAGGAGGAAAGAAGGGCGGAGGAGGAAAGAAGGGCGGAGGAGGAAAGAAGGGCGGCAGGAGGTAAGAAGGGAGGAGGAGGAAAGAAGGGCGGAGGACGAAAGAAGGGCGGAGGAGGAAAGAAGGGCGGAGGAGGAAAGAAGGGCGGAGGAGGAAAGAAGGGCGGAGGGGGAAAGAAGGGCGGAGGAGGAAAGAAGGGAGGAGGAGGAAAGAAGGGCGGCAGGAGAAAGAAGGCGGAGGAGGAAGAAGAAGGGCGGAGGAGGAAAGGAGGGTGGAGGAGGAAAGAAGGGAGGAGGAGGAAAGAAGGGAGGAGGAGGAAAGAAGGGAAAGAAGGGCGGAGGAGGAAAGAAGGGTGGAGGAGGAAGAAGGGTGGAGGAGGAAGGAAGGGTGGAGGAGGAAAGAAGGGTGGAGGTGGAAACAAGGGTGGAGGAGGAAAGGAGGGTGGAGGAGGAAAGGAGGGTGGAGGAGGAAAGGAGGGTGGAGGAGGAAAGGAGGGTGGAGGAGGAAAGGAGGGTGGAGGAGGAAATGAGGGTGGAGGAGGAAAGGAGGGTGGAGGAGGAAAGGAGGGTGGAGGAGGAAAGGAGGGTGGAGGAGGAAAGGAGGGTGGAGGAGGAAAGTAGGGTGGAGGAGGAAAGGAGGGTGGAGGAGGAAAGGAGGGTGGAGGAGGAAAGGAGGGTGGAGGAGGAAAGGAGGGTGGAGGAGGAAAGGAGGGTGGAGGAAAGGGGGGAGGAAGGGGGGCATGGAGAGGAGAAGGAAGCAACTTTTATTAGTGGAGAAGATGGAAGGAGAGGGGAGGAGAGGGAAGAGGAGGGAATGAGGGCAACATGGGAAGGGCAGCAGCAGGAAGGCAGCACGGGAAGGGCAGCGGTGCAGCTTCAAGGGGAGTGCAGTGCGGTTGGAGGAGGTAGGGGGGCAGAGGAAGGAGGAGAGCAATGCCTTTCAGGAGATGAGGGCAACATGGGAAGGGCAGCAGCGGTGCTGCTTCACTGGGAGGGCAGCGTGGGAGAGGCCATGAGGCAGAGGCAAGTTGAGTGCAGTGACGGTGGAGGAAGGAGGGCGGCACAGGAAGCAGCAGCTGAATCCGTTCCTGAAAATGAGGGTAGCAGAGGAAGATCAGTGGTGCAGACTTATGAGACGGGCAACGATTTCGGAGGAGGGAGGGTTGATGGAGAAGAGGAGGGAGGAAAGGAGGGTGAAGAGGAGGGAGAAGAGGAGGGAGAAGAGGAGGGAGCAGAGGAGGGTGAAGAGAAAGGGGCAGAGGAGGGGGCACAGCTGGGATCACAGGTGGGAGCAGAAGAGGGAGTGGAGGAGGGAGCAGAGGAGGCAGAAGAGGATGGAGAAGAGGAGAGAGCAGTAGAGGGAGCAGAGGTGGGAGCAGAGGAGGGAGCAGAGGAGGGGGCAGAAGAGGGAGTGGAGGAGGGAGCAGAGGAAGGAGCAGAGGAGGGAGCAGAGGAAGGAGCAGAGGAGGGAGCAGAGGAAGGAGCAGAGGAGGGAGCAGAGGAAGGAGCAGAGGAGGGAGCAGGGGAGGGAGCAGAGGAGGAAGCAGAGGAGGGAGAAGAGGAGAGAGCAGAGGAGGGAGCAGAGGAGGAAGCAGAGGAGGGAGAAGAGGAGAGAGCAGTAGAGGGAGCAGAGGTGGGAGCAGAGGAGGAAGCAGAGGAGGGAGCAGAGGAGGGGGCAGAGGAGGGAGCAGAGGAAGGAGAAGAGGAGGGAGAAGATGAGGGGGCAGAGGAGGGAGCAGAGGAGGGAGCAGAGATGAAAGCAGAGGAGGGAGCAGAGGAGGAAGCAGAGGAGGGAGAAGAGGAGAGAGAAGAGGAGGGAGCAGAGGAGGGAGCAGAGGTGGGAGCAGAGGTGGGAGCAGAGGAGGGAGCAGAGGAGGGAGCAGAGGAGGGAGAAAAGGAGGGGGCAGAGGAGGGAGCAGAGGAGGGAGCAGAGATGAAAGCAGAGGAGGGAGCAGAGGAGGAAGCAGAGGAGGGAGAAGAGGAGAGAGAAGAGGAGGGAGCAGAGGAGAGAGCAGAGGAGGGAGCAGAGGAGGGAGAAGAGGAGGGAGAAGAGGAGGGGGCAGAGGAGGGAGACGAGGAGGGAGCAGAGGAGGGGGCAGAGGAGGGAGCAGAGGAGGGGACAGAGGAGAGAACATTGGAGGGAGCAGAGGAGGGATCAGAGGAGGGAGCAGAGAAAGGAGCAGAGGAGGGAGCGGAGGAGGGAGAGGAGGAGGGGTCAGAGGAGGGAGCGGAGGAGGGAGAGGAGGATGCAGCAGAGGAGGGAGACGAGAAGAAGGGATACGTGGGGCAAAGTTGGCAGTTGGTGGAAGATGGAGCAGAAGGGATTTGTGGGGGAAGCGGGGATTATTGGAGGGGACAGGAAGAGGGAGGAGGAGAAGCAGAGGAAGAGAGGGGTAAGGGAGAGGGAAGTGGGGGAGGGGAGAGGGCAGTGGAAAAGGGAGGAGGAGAGAGGGAAGAGGAAGGTGAATGGGAAAGGGAGAAGGAAGAAGGGGAGAGGGAAAAGGAAAAGCGAGGAAGGGAGAGGGAAGAGGAAGGAAAAATAGGTGAGGAGGAAGAGGGAGGAAGATGGAGTAAGCAAGAGGTGCAGAGATGCGTGCAGGAAAGATGGAAGAGGAAGCGGCATGCTGAAGAGGAAATGCGACAAACAAGGTTTGTTTGGAGTCAAGTCGATGCATTCAAGAACCCTGGACAAGCCATGAGCGTGCGACAGCACGTGAGGATTGGGATTGTGGAAGGGGGTTGCTTCGAATGGGAGGGGCGGTGAGAAAGGGAATGTGTGTTGAAGGAGATTGTGCCGAGGGGGAGGGAGGTGGTTGCAGGGAAAACCACCTGGAGAATCACCTGAGGCAGCAGAAGAGATACCTGGGCACAAAGGTGCACTGTAATGTGGGGAGGAGAGGGTGCCAGTGGAAGCTGAGGAAACGCAGGAGGCAGGAGGAGAAGCTCCTGAGGCAGGAGGAGGAGCTCCTGAAGGAGGAAGAAACCCACCTGAAACAGGTGGAAGAACACCTGAAGCAACAGAAAGAGCACCTGAGGCAGCAGGAGGAGCACCTGAAGCGTAAGAGGCAGCACCTGGAGCTTCAGGTAAGACGCACGCGGATTTTGAAGCAACGCCTGAGTTGCTGTAGCTGTTTGTGTTCTTGTGGTTTAAGGAGAGGGGTTGAGGAGAGGGATGAGGAGGGAGGGAGGATGGTGGAGGATGGAGGGAGAGGAAGAGGGGTTGTGGTGCATGATGGGGAGGGGGTGGGGTTGGCGGAAGATGGAGGGAGAGGAGGGTTTGATGGAGGGAGAGGAGGGGTAGACGGGTGGAGAGGAGGGAGGGTGGTGAAAGATGAGATTGAAGACTGGTTAAGGTGAAAGATGGATGGACTGGAGGGGGATGGTGAAGGATGAAGAGAGAAGGGAGGAGTGGTGGTGTGGTGAGTGAAGGGAGAGGAAGTGCCGGCTCTGCCCCATGGGCTGAAGCAGCAGAAAGGGGACAAGTGGGGGAGGGATACAATACAACTCCTCAATGTGCCCCGCTTTGCCTTAATCATGTGAATAAAATGAGTAAGTTATAAATGTTTTGCGTCATGATGGCATGCAAGGCAATGTCTTACGCCAGTTTCAGTATTTGTTTTTTCTTGAACCGAGCTCGCTTGTATGATGAAGGGAGGGAGCTCCTGTTGCAATTTCTTTGAGGATGTTTTTGTCAAACATTATATATGTTGTTGTAGTTGTTTAGGCTACAGTGGGTTAGCCTATAGGGGGTACACATTCCTAGGTTTTCATACTTGTTCTCATTTCACTCTTAGTTCATTCATTCTTGTTCAACATGGTATAGAGCAGGTCCTTCCTAGGACCGATTTTTTAGGGCCCACCACTACCTACCTACCTACCTGCGCCCTAGGGCGCCTCGGCTTTCACGCCCCTAGAGGCCCCGTCGGCCCCGCGCTCTCGCACCTAGAGACCTCGGTCGGCCCCCGCGCTCGCTTTTAGAGGCCCCGAATCCGCCCCGCGCTTACCCCTAGAGGCCCGCGTCGGCCCTGCGCTCGTCCTTACCGGCCCCGATCGGCCCCGCGCTCGTCCCTCACGGCCCCGATAGGCCCCGCGCTCGCCCTTAGAGGCCCACGTCGGCCCCAGCGCTCGTCCCTTACGGCCCCGATCGGCCCCGCGCTCGTCCCTCACGGCCCCGATAGGCCCCGCGCTCGCCCTTAGCACCCACGTCGGCCCCGCGCTCATCCCTCACGGCCCCACCCGCTCCCCGCGCTCGCCCTTAGCGGCCCCGAACGGCCCCACCCAGACCGAGCAGCCCGAACCGAGCCGACCCGAGCCGCCAGCCCTAACCGACCCGAGCCGCCCGAACCGAGCCGCGCCGCCCGAACCGAGCTGCCCGAACCGAGCCGCGCCGCCCGGCCCGAGCCGCCCGAACCGAGCCGCGCCGCCCGACCCGAGCCGCGCCGCCCTACCTATACCGAGCCGCGCCGCCCTACCTGTACCGAGCCGCGCCGCCCTACCTACCCTACTGCTTCTATTGCTTTTCCTACTGCTGCTACCATGGCTAGCCCTCCTGTCCTAGCCTTCGATACTGAGGGCCGCCCAGTGAAGTTCGACACCTGGCTTGATGACCTACACCTCTTCCTACAACTCACTGCCAAGGAAGACATCTCGCTGTACGATCATGCCTTAGGCCACGCTACTGCTCCTGCTGCTACTGCTGACAGCACTGCCCGCTCACAGTGGCAGACTCGTGACGCCCATACTCGCTTCGCTATTCGCAACTCTCTGCCGATAGATGAGCGCGAGCACTTTGGGCAGCATAAGACTGCACATGCACTGTACACTGCTGTTGTTGCCCGCTACTCCTTGCCAGCCTGTGCCGCTCTAGGCCGTCTCTCTCTTCCCTACCTGTTCCCCGACCTAGCTTCCTTCCACACTGTCGCTGATCTCATTACCCACCTCCGCACTAGTGAGGCTCGCTTCTGCGCCGCTATGCCTGATGAGTTCCTTGCCAAGAACCCACCCCCGCTCTGGCTCACTCTCTACCACCTAGTCACGTGCCTCCCTAACACTCTGCGCTCAGTCAGGGACCACTTCCTAGCTCGCTGCCCCACCGAGCTCACCATTGCCCTCCTCGAGAAGGAACTGCTTGCAGCTGAGGCTAGCATAGTCGCTGTAGGTGCCTCTCGCGGTGACCCCCGTACCCCGTTCTTTGAGGGGTGTTCTCCCTCCCCCCTTCTTCCCTCTGTCGCCTCTGCTGCTGCTGTCGACCTCCTTGGTGGTGAGAAGGTCGGGACTGCGTCTGCTTCGAGTGGGCGCCGCAGCGGCAAGGGCAAGGGGGGCAAGGGCGGTGGTGGTGACAGCGGGGGTGGCGGTGGTGGGGGAGGTGGTGGTGGCGGGGGGGGTGGCGCGGGTGGGGGAGGTGGCAGCAGTGGGGGGGGGTGGCGGCAGCGACGGGGGAGGTGGCCGGGGCGGAGGAGGTGGTGGGGGTGGCGGTGGACGAGGCAACGGCCGGGGTTGGGGTGGTCGAGGAGGTGGTAGCGGCGGTGGTGGTCGTGGAGGCGCTGGCGGTGGCCAGGGCCAGCAGCACACTCCGTCGCCCCAGGAGGTCCGTGAGTGGTACTCTCAGCATGGGGGGGGGGGGGGGGGGGTGGCCTTAGCTGCACGTACGTCATTCGCACTGGTGACCGCACTGGCCAGCCGTGTGGGGGACCGCACGCCACACAGCGTTGCTTCGCTCGTCTGAACGACGCTTGGCGTGTTCAGTTCCCTCAGGCCACTGAGCTGCCCCGCTGGGTTGATCTCCTGAAGAAGGGGATTGATATTTATGCTCTAGACTTTGATGCTATTCTCACTGCCATGTATGTGATGTCTACTAGTGGAGAGGGTGCTGAGTACCTGAGTGTCCCGCCCGACCCGGGCATTAGGACTAGTGCGTCTGCCGCTCCAGGTACTCGCGTGTCCGCTACCCCAGGTGCTGGTGAGGCTGCTGCTCTAGGTGCGTGTACGTCTGCCCGCCCTAGTACTGTGTCGACTGCAGCACTGCACACCTTCACACTGGATTCAGGTGCCTCTCGCTGTTTCTTTCGTGACCGCACTGCCCTTGAGCCCCTTGCTCGGCCAGTTGCTGTCTCCCTCGCTGACCCCTCTGGGGGTCCGGTCCTTGCAACCTCCTCCACCGTCCTTCCCTGTCCTGCGGTCCCGTCGGGCACACTGTCAGGTCCCCACCTCCCCTCGTTCTCTACAAACTTGGTGGCAGGTTGTGCACTACAGGACGCGGGTGTTCACCAGTTCACCCCTGCCTACGAGCGTGTCACACACTGCACGTGTGCCCGTACAGGCTGCCACTTGGCTACCTTCACCCGGCAGCCGGGGCCGGATCTGTACACACTGACTACTGCCCCCCCTCAGGTCGCTGCGTCTGCGTCTGCGTCCGCGTCAGGTCAGCTGTCCGCCCCCTGCTCGTGTCGCTCTCTAGCGCACGAGACTGTCCTCTAGCACCACCGACTGGGCCACCCGTCTGTGCAGCGCCTTCGTGCCATGCACTCCCGGTACCTTGTCTCTGGTCTTCCCAGAGTCCTCCCTCCCCTCCCACCCTCGCCTGCTCCTCCCTGTCTTCCCTGTGTCGAGGGGCGGCAGCGCGCCGCTCCTCACTCCTCCTCGTTTCCCCCGACGACTGCTCCTTTGCAGACGCTCCACATGGACGTGTGGGGCCCAGCCCGCGTCCGTGGTCAGGGCTAGGAGAGGTACTTCCTGATCGTTGTTGACGACTACTCGCGCTACACCACGGTCTTCCCCTTGCGAGCCAAGGGTGAGGTCCCTGATGTTTTGATCCCTTGGATCCGCTAAGCTCGTCTCCAGCTCAGCGAGCGTTTCCGCTCGGACTTTCCTATCCTGCGCTTGCACTCTGACAAAGGTGGTGAGTTCTCCTCCGACCTCTTGGCAGCCTACTGTGCTGAGCACGGCATTAAGCAGTCGTTCACGCTTCCCGGCCTCTCCACAGCAGAATGGGGTTGCGGAGCGCCGCATTGGCCTGGTCATGGAGGTCGCTCGTACCTCCTTGATCCATGTGGCTGCCCCCCACTTTCTGTGGCGGTTTGCGGTCCGGTACGCTGCGCATCAGCTCAACCTCTGGCCCCGTGTCTCCTTGCCGGAGACCTCGCCCACACTGCTGTGGACGGGGGAGGTTGGCGATGCGTCACGTTTCCGGGTCTGGGGATCTCGAGCTTTTGTCCGCGATTCGTCTGTGGACACGCTCTCCTCTCGTGCTGTTCCCTGCGTCTTCCTCGGCTTTGTTCCGGACGCGCCTGGTTGGCAGTTTTACCACGCCACCTCGCGCCGGGTCTTGCCCTCTCAGGACGTCACTTTTGACGAGTCTGTCCCCTACTACCGCCTCTTTCCCTACCGCACTGCCCCGCTCCCACCCCCGCCTCTCTTCCTCGCGCCAGGTGCTGCTGTCGTAGACCCCCTCCCCCCTCAGGGTGCCGCTCCCTCAGGTGTGTCTCAGGTAGACCCGTTCGAGCCTGTTGAGGTTGCTGTCGACTCTCGTCCTGCTGGGGGTGCTGAGCCTGGGGGTGCGGACTCTGGGGGTGCTGAGCCTTGGGGTGCAGACACTGGGGGTACTGAGCCTGGGGGTGCTGAGCCTGGGGGTGCGGTGACTAGGGGTGCTGAGCCTTGCGGTGCTGGGCCTGAGGGTGCTACACCTGGACGCGACCTCTCCTCGGAGCAGTTGCGTGAGTGGTACTTACAGTACTACAGTACTGCGCTACTTGTGCAGTATGTCGGGCATGGGGCTTGTGCTCGTGTCGCACCCTGTCGCACCAGACTGTCCTCTGGCACCACCGCCTTGGTCACCCTTCAGTGCAGCGCCTTCGTGGCATGCACTCCTGGTACCTTGTCTCTGGTCTTCCCAGGGTTCTCCCTCCTCTCCCTCCCTCGCCTGCTCCTCCCTGTCTTCCCTGTGTCGAGGGGCGGCAGCGCGCCACTCCTCACTCCTCCTCGTTCCCTCCCACAGAGGCTCCTCTGCAGACTCTCCACCTAGACGTGTGGGGCCCAGCCTGCGTCAGTGGACAGGGCCACGAGCGGTACTTCCTGCTGGTCGTCGACGACTACACGCGCTACACCACGGTCTTTCCCTTGCGCACCAGGGGTGAGGTCCCTGATGTTTTGATCCCTTGGATCCGCACTGCTCGTCTCCAGCTCCGCGACCGGTTCCAGTCGGACTTTCTAGTCTTGCGTCTGCACTCTGACAGGGGTGGTGAGTTTACCTCCGACCTCTTGGCATCCTACTGTGCGGAGCACGGCATCCGCCAGACGTTTACACTGCCGGCCTCTCCACAGCAGAATGGGATTGCTGAGCGCTGCATTGGCTTAGTCAT